CTCCCCTCTCCTGGAATCACCTCCCAAATAAACTGCCGGCAGCAAGCCTGGTGAAAACAAACTTAACCAAGGGAAGGCATCCACGGGGGACATCAGAGATCAGAAAGGACAGCTCGTCAAATTCTTAGCAGGTTCAGACTCTTACTGCTAAAGCCACTGCCCACTGCCCCGCTGTGTCCGGAGAGAGAGGCTGCAGAGGAGGGAGAGGTTCTCAGGGGGAAATGAGCTGCTCAGCCAAAGTCAAAAGATTTCAAATGAACAAATACGTCCGGCTGAACTACGTATTTTCTGAAGGTCGACTTACTCATTTCCAAAGAAGTCATGACAGGAACCACCAGACTGTGGAGTGTTGGACTGTGCGTGGAGTTTTCAATAAATGCATTTCAAAGTCCTCCTTCTCTCGGGCAGTTGTATACAAAAGGCTGAAGAAGTGGGTCTTTGCAGGGCTGCTTGCCAGTTCTCCTAAGTGGAGCGCAGGCCCTAGTTGTGAAGCAAGAAAAAAAAATAACATGTGGCCTCTCTTGCGTCTTCTAAGGCTACCGGCACCCATCAAAAAAGGAAGAAAGAAAATAGAGCCTTTGGTGCCCGAGAAGAAATCTAATCTTCTCCAAGTTCTCAAAGGTGCCACACTTCCCACCAGCTGTTTGCGAGGTATGTGCCAACGCGCTGAGAAAGAGGCCTTTCACGGTTGCATCGTATTCACGCAACTGTATCCAGGGTCACTTCAGAACCAGGGATACCTGAGGACAGCAAATGACTCCACTGCCAGACAAGATGTGGGGCTCCCCCTGAGCAAGGGAAAGCTAAGATTATTTTCTATCCATCATGCTTACCTCAGTGATTCAACTTATGGCCCAAGACATTATTCAGAAAATAATATGCTATTAGAGAATTTCATTTCATGGGACATTTAATGAGAGCGTTCTCCAGCAAGGGAAGGCTAGTCTCCTCAGACACAGAGGGTGAGAGTTTCCACTGATGCTGGTGTTTCTGAGCTGCCCAGAGAAAGAGGGGATCCAGAAATGAGACCACGAGTCCTGAGGAGGCTCGCTGGCCAGTCGGTGCTGGGGTCTCTGAGCTTGGATGGACACCCAGGGGGCCTGGAACTCAGAGTTCCAGGAGGAGGCACTGGGGAGCTGGTGCTGGAGTTGCTCAGAGGGGCAGGATGCGACTGGCTTTCCAAGTGTTGGGGAAATGACAAACAGGATCCAGCTGCCTCCAGGGGAGGCACTGTCACCGCCAGCGTGAGGAGCCAGGATTGGAGTGACTTCCCTAGGAACAGCAAGCAGGGGCAGGGGTCTGAGCAAGTCCCTTCCTCCTGCCCTTTTGCTGGTTCCATCTAGCGCCCCCTACTGGGGGAGCCTAACGGGTGTCAGCTTGGAAAGCAAAAAGGAGGTTGGCAGCGTCCCAGCCCCAGCATCACAGAGCGCAGGATGGGTTTGACGCTGAGACAACCGCTTAGTAACTGACACAGCACTCTCCAGGACTATCATCCTCAGAACACTAAAGCTCTAATTTGCAAATATTCCCTGTGCTAGCAATTCAGTGAAAAAGTAAAATATCAAGGAAGCTGTGGAGGAGCAGTTGTCTTGTTTTATGTTGCCAAAAGTGCGCTCAGCTCACAGGTGGGCTTTGGATAAAAACTGGAGATGGTGCGGGATGCAGGGCCTGCGTATTTTACAACTTCAATATCAACCAGGTAGAAGGGTAGGCTGAAGAACTGCATTGTGTTAGAGATGTAGACACAATGGACAATGTTTGAATGCCCCTGGAAAATAAAAGGGCATGGGCTAGAAGGGGTAATGGGGAGGAGGGGAACGTATGTAATACTTTCAACAATAAAGATTAAAAAAATAAAAGGACACGGATAATGCAGAACGGAAGGAAAAGGTAAAGTTTTTCTGTCATTTAAGAAAATGTTGTCACCCCCTATGTTCACAGTAGCATTACAGTGGGGCCTTGACTTACGAGTTTAATTCTTTCCGAGACCTCGCTAAGGAGCTCGTTAAGGAGCTCGTTAACTCAAATTACTCTGTCAACTCAAAGCAAAAAAATCGGCTGAGAAACAGCTGGTATCTCAAAACACTCCTTAGTCAGGACACTCTTAAGTCAAGGCCCCACTGTATTTACAAAAGCTAAGATCTGGAAACAGCCCAAGTGCCCATCAGTAGACGAGTGGATAAAAAAGCTGTGGTACATTTACACAATGGAATACTGTGCAGCTGTGAAAAAGAAGGATCTCTTACCCTTCGAGATAACATGGAGGGAACTGGAGAGTATTATGCTAAGCGAAATAAGCCAGTCAGAGAAAGATAAATATCACATGATCTCACTTCTATGTGATCTAATGAACAAAATAAACTGATAAAACAGAATCAGAGCCCAGCCGGTGTAGCTCAGTAGTTGAGCATCAATCCAGGAACCAAGAGCTCAACTCCTGGTCAGGGCATATACCCGGGGTGCGGGCTGGATCCCCAGTGTGGGGCATGCAGAAGGCAGCCCATCAATGATGTTTCTATCTCTCTATCCCTCTCCCTTCCTCTCTCAAATTAAAAAATAAAATAAAATAAGAACCAGAGGCATGGATACATGGAACAGACTGACAAATGTCAGAGGGGAGGAATGCGGGGGGACTGGATAAAGAAGGTGAAGGGATTCGCTAAGGAACATATATGCATAGCCCAGGGACACAGACAATAGTGTGGGGAGGGCCACAGGAGGGGGGCGCTGGAGGGAAG